AGATCAGAAGACAAACATTGCGAGAAGGATCACCCTTTGGGCTACACTCATCGGGCACTTTTGAATAAGACTGAACGAAATTCACAAATATTAAAGTGACTCGAAAATCTGATTAAACCGGATAGAAAGTGAGATTGCGAGTTTGTAGGTGTATAAGTAATTGCAATTGGTCAGGTTTACTTCAACGCAGGCCAAAGTAAAAGGGAATAGGCTTCTGGACGCCGGAGATGTCGTAATGACATAACCAAATGGAGAACACATTCGTACGGCCTAACTCATAACTATTTTTGACCAAGTAACTCATGATAGTTAAGTCTTGCCTACGTAACGCACTCAGCATGTGGATTAGGTTGATTCATTCGTGTGCGTGCTCAGGAATGTGTTCAGTCATTTTACTTCGCACAGAGCGTTCATTCCGATTAATGTATACTTCCTTGCAACTAGAATAAAAACGTAGGCTACCTCAAGCTGCTTCGCATCCCAGAAAACTTGACTAAAGTTTTCATGTTGTACCTGTCAATTTACACGTAAGGAACCGATAAGTATAGGAAAACTACCTCTGAGCTGGTTGTCGTGCCCTAGGACATCCTCCAAAGCTTTGATTTCCATCAACTCTTGTATTTAGCTTCAAAATATCGAGATGTACATCGGAGGGCCATAATCCGGTGAACAGCTGGACAAGTAAGCTAATCCAGAGCGATTCAAGTTTGAATCTCGGACAGACAGTGCACGACACGTAAAGACACTTGACCTGAATCGGGCGTAGGAGAGCGACTGAAAATGAAGTTCGACAAAAATGCATGAACTTTTACAGTGAATCTACACTAAGCAAATGGTGAATGGGATCTTAGTGAACCACTGGCATCCATGCACCAAAAAGCTACCTACCGCCTTTCAGCCCGCAATTAGCTTGGAAAAGGCTAAAGGAGCTCTCTCCTCTAGCATAAAAGTCGAGCGACACCGAAAACACCTCATGAACCAAACTTTCACGAAGTTTCACGATCATATACAAAATCGGTTTATCTTTCCCAAGGAACCAAACTGATGAACTAAGTGAAATACGGGTTAGAAAAGGATTTCTCCATGCAGTGCTTATGTTCCGACTTGCTTTTGAAGTTATTTAAACATTGCGATAATGTCTACAGTTATGGGTCACCTAACAGAAAAAATAAGTACAGTCCACACCAGTTATTATTGGGTCCTCTGGCCTGGGTTTAACATGCAAAGTTTAGCTTGGCCCTACTAGATTCAGCAATAAGCATTTTTGAAGAATGTGAGGAAACAAGTCAGTAATGAAATTTGGCTTTATTTGGATTTCAAACATATGTTTGCTTCTGCGATACAACTCTTTACGAATTACAAGTTTCACAAACTTTGAGGTTTTCAATTTGTGTGTTAGAATTGTACACCTCCAGCTAGCAGAAGCACCTTTGTCTCCATAAAAGCAATCGATTTTTTAAATACGATGAAGTAAGCTGTAGCGAGATACCAAATGATACCCGTTCTGAAACTAGATTGCCCCGTATAAGTTAAGGCTGACCGCTTAGGCAGTTGCATGACTAACGACGGTTGCGCAGTAAATGAGGCAACTGATCGCATTTCCAAGGCTGTAGCAGCGTGCTCAGGACTTGGATACATCTGCTGACACTGTGACGTTTTCCCGGAGCTTAAAAGTTACAAATACTGCGCCACCGTTTGGGCAGATCTGCTTTACGGTTGTGAGATCTGAAATTTGGGAGTAAAAGGCATCCATCTCCTGAAGGCTTTCGACAATAGATACTCACTTAGTTTGACCCAAGTAAGATGGAGTGAGCTGATCAGTAACTTCTATGTAATTCAATGTGTGTGGGAATGTATCGAGGAAAAATTCGTCATAGCATCGAGTTCAACTCCCATTCCTAAAAAGTGTATCTTTTTATATTCAAAGAAAGGAAGTAAAATGGAAAAAAGAAAAAGGGCTTCTACGGTTCGGACACGTTTTACGTTTGTCGAATGATCTCCTAACACACCGCATCTCATTTGAAGTTGCCACTCTGAGTGGAGCCAATCACGGGGAAGTCAATAAATAAAGTGGAGAAGAGACGTGAAATGCACAACGCGATTAGGTAGATTAGGTGTCTCCCGACTTCCAAATTGGAGTCTAACTGCTTCGATCGTCTACGCAGCGTTGCACGAATCTGGTGGGGCAGACGGACGAGCAATGCTGAGGTTGGGTGCGGTTTTAATTAACCGCTGTGGCCCACTAGAGCAAGTAATTGACCTCCACAGATTGCGTTGAACAGGGCATGTGTTACGCATGTCGCCAAATAGGCTGCCACGGTGAACGATATTCTCCGAGGCAATTAGTGGGTGAAATAAAGCCAAAGGTGGTCAAGCTAAGACCTGACACGAGGGTATGAAAACCCTAAGCAGGTGCCTCGGTCACCTAGGTCCCATTAAGCTCCCTGGCTGGAGACCCCGATATCATTCTCACCAATGGTCAGAGACACTGAGTGGTATGACTGGTGCTCATGCATCTACTCATCATGCTGGCAATCCCAGTCTATATGAATTTTCTGCTCCCAACTTTCCAGTCTTCATTCTGCTCTTTTATTTAAATGGGCACCCAAAGATAGCAACCAAAACGGGCGCATGAAAATGCATTGTTGATGGTTGTAAAAACCGGAATTGAAACTGAAACTTATCGCAGCACATAACGGGGAGAGCTGGTCATTTCGCTTCTGGACCGCTCCCAAGGATTGTAAAAGAGTTCTGCGTTCACGGGAAATCATAACCAATAGTTTCTTAAGCACAGGGGCTTGTTGCATATTCATCCTGTTCCATGATTATCATTGGCCTCTGCTGTAAAAACCTGATACACTTTGAGGTAAATGGGAACACACCACTGTTCTACCACCTTTGTTCCATATAACTTGAGCTGAACTCTGAATAACTAGTTTAAGAAAACGTCACAAAAAAAGAATGCATATATTATGCAGTTTTTTTAACACTTTAGGTTTCTGCAGATCAATCACACTCAAGCATCTGAAATCTGATAAATTGGCTAATTTCCTTTACAAGGCCACATACTTAGCATAATTCCAACAACCAGAGCATACCGCCGCGTATCTCTTGAATTTCACTGGTCAGTTCGGTTATAAAGATTATCTTCGAGCTGACGGCGGTATGCCATGGGACCTGCCGTGTAATTAACAATAAAGTCATCCAAACGAGACACATCATAAATGCTGATCAGGAAGACGTAGTTTTTATGGAATTCTCATCAAGCAGAAGCTGATAAATTTATACCCGGCATATTATCATATCATAAAAATCACAAACCCATGAAAGAGGTTTCCGGTTTTGTGGGTAGGCATAACGTAAATACATTCCAGCGACAAACTGGAATTTTCGCAAAGAACCAATGTCTCAGATTTTTATAGAATAATTGAGGCTATCAGGGACTCGAACGGGAAGCTACCCTCGAGTTCGAATAGCTAAAAGAAAGATCTAATTATGTGAAAAACGGGGTATTGGTTTCCAAACTTGGTTCAAGGTTGTCTTCTGCTTCACTGAAGATATGACTCGTGATTTAACCAAAAACTGGAGAACAATAATCACTTGAATCTCCCGCAGACCTGACTGATTCACATGCTCTCTATTAAAAGTATCACTCCACCAGCATAAAATCTTAAGCAAATGACCTCATTTATACAGGATAATGTGTGCTCATCAAAGATATATAAGGCGATCACACATGGCGAATTCGATGCACACCTTCTCGCACCTTTTCATTCCAAAACGTAAGGCTTTTCCAACTCACTTAGTTGTAAGCTGAAGCGACCTAACCCTTCTACTGCTATTTCGTTGAAGGTTTACTCCAACTATTTTTTCAGGCCACAGACTTACGGCCCCAGACGCTGACGGTCGATGACAGCGACTATTGTCGCACAAATGCTTGACAAGTCGTGTTCTCAGGTGAGTGGCTAACCACCCATCAATTGATGCAGGGGAGCAGAAGCGCCAGTCAGCTTTGCCGCCAGTGAAAAAATATCCTACGAATCAGAAGGGTGACTTCAAAAAACATGTAGCTCATTGAAACCCTCGTAGCATAGTGGAACGGGCAAACTTTTATTCCAGTCTCGATGAAACTATTCTTTATATGCTGTCGCATTTGAGTTCTAATCGAGTCCCAATGGGAGTTTCAATCTTAATTCGTATATCTAATTCCATTTTAGCCCCGTTTGAACCACTTGGGGGGGGGAGTAAATTATTTTAATCTCGCTTAAACTACAAATGGGTTCAGTTGTATCTCCAACGAACCCCGAATGCAACTGAAATAGAACTCCGACGGGAGTCTCTGATTGAATAGAAGGCACCAAATGAAAAATATGGAACTCAGGTAAAATGAGGGATCTGAAAAAAAGGAGATAGTGCAAACATGGGGAAGGCAGGAACTGTGTTTTCTAAAGAAGGTGGAGTGAGTCATCAAATGCAATATTGTAAAAACGATCTTTTGAGCACATAGGCTGACCTAAGTGTAAGCCTACAGAGAGGTTCCTTCGCTGATGAACACTAGTGTTTCCCCGACTCGACAACCTCTAGCTACATTATGGAAGTCAACTGATCCCGACTTATAATTATAACAGTCTTGACTTAGGCGAATAGAAACTTAAGGTCTCTTGCCAATGAGGTGAGAAAACGCCCTTTCTCGTTCCTCTTTTTGAGCTGAAATGAGAAAATCTGATAGAAGAAATTTATATAGCACAATACTGGGAGCCGAAACCACCAATCGACGATATAACAACCTGGAAGCTTGACTAGCAAAGACTATAATTCGCCCTATGAAAACTGGAGTGGACCGGATGTATAAGTACTCTGCCACCACAAAGCGTAAATAATGCGGGTTTGCAACGGGCATTTGCGCATTTTCTAAAGAATTCCCCAATTCTGCTATCCACGGTTCCTACCCGTTGGGAATCTTTTCCACAGCAGCTTAATTTTTCTGTGGTCGTCCTGATGAACCTTTCACGAAACCAAAGAAGGATGAAGTACTCCACACACGTGTATCCTTAATGAGCCCAGCATGTTCCTTAACAGGACAGGACAGTTCACAGGACTTGCGGCTCGAGCCAGTATGGTAGTCTAGATTCTTGCCTCTACGGACTACATTTGTCCAGCAGGATAAGTAAGGATGAATGGAAGATGAATAAATAAGGATAAGATAGCGAATCTTAACGAAAGTGAGAGCTGAGGAAGGGTTAGAGAGGATTAAGGTATCACCAAGAGATGACTACTTTTATGTTATGCAGTCGGGGAAAACTAAGTCCCATGCCTTATCAAGCCTTGATTTAAAAAAGGCAAGCGTGCTTGCCGAGAAAATCTCAGTTTGGTGGTCCATATCATGCGTTGGTTTTTTCTCCATTTGCTCCAAGTGGTTTGACTAGTTTCAATTGGTTTCATGAAAACAATCCAGATCTAAGATGCATCTTAGAGCTGGAGTTGAAATGAGGAAGAAAAGTTGCCTGATTATTTGCGAGAGTCCCTTTAGTATCTTGAAGATCTCTATCAGATCCCCTCTCATTCACGCATATGTGTGAGAGATAACAAGTGAAGTTCTCTCGAGCGCCTTGAATACGACAGACGTCGTACGCTCAGGACATCCTGAGGGTAAGAAAAACCATAGTTAAACGTCTCTTAACGTCTTTCGGAGATTTTGTGTCACACAAAAAATTTGAGGCCTTTGCCTAAAAGTAATATTCTAGGTGAGGCCGCATCGGGGCCTTGTAGAGGCCTCTACTATCCCGGGGCAGTGGCCACTGCCTCTAGAATTCTAATATTGAAACTAAAAATACGTTCAGGTATATACCCTTATATTCAGAAAAAGGTAAGCACCAAAACATACGCAGGATTCAAAACATTCCTCCTCACAATTATGCATATACTTACTGAACCTCGACATTCGAAGGTCGAATAATCCCTTCTGAGGTAGCTGAGGACGAACTAAAACTGTAAACCTTGGGTCCGAAATTCTTGGAATAGCATGGCCTGCAAAACAATTGTCCATCGTGATCATTGGCCGAAAAGCTGTCAAGTGTCTTGTTGCATAAACCTGAAATTAGAATGTCATAAAACATTTCACTGATGAGAAGACTGACAGCATCTGAAGCAAAGTTTATGAAAAGATTTTCCCATTGCTCGTATTTCTTCTGCAAAATACACATGACGATCACAGACCGGACACACAGCTGGGCCAAACTTTCTGTTCATATTTTATGTTTACGTGCGAAACCCAAGGCTATTTACACTTTCGAAATAGAGTAACAAAGTGGCCTAGAAGTATAACTGAGTTGGAGTAAACAAAGCATGTTTCAGTTCAGTTCAGTTCAGTTCTCACAGGACGAATTGTGGCTCTTGCCAATCGC